CCCCAAAACCCCAAAACCCCAAAACCCCATATAATTCATATCATCTGAATATTAGAGATTAAATTAAATAATCAGAAGCAGTTACGATATATAATTGCGCTTCCGTGTTGTTTATACTATTCCTTTGTTATCCACATGTGATTAAAGGATTCCAAATTTGAGAGAATAGAACCTCCGAGCCATTGAGAGAATTTCCTATCAGCTGGTGCTTCCACTTCTGGCCCCATCGGTGATGGTGCTAACGCCTATATTTCTTTCTTCATTCTCTCTCTCATTCCTTCTATAGCAGTAGTTCCTCCAGCTAAAACAATGTTCTTGAAAAGGGTACGCCTGATTTCAGTATCACACTTCATTATAGCATCAAAGGTATATTTGTGAATGCCATCTAGGTCTTTACTTCCTTATACTGAAGGCTAGAATAACATTTCAGGGCATTTAAGCAATTAAGTTGAGAGTGTAATCTCTTATGTCGAACCAGGCAGAGTGTACCTTCTCTCGAAGGTCTTTTATTCACTAGCAGCTTTCATTTCAGCATCAAAGTCTTAAGCAACAATGCAGTTATTTTCTTTTATTTATCTGGCCACATCTATGTCGAAAACGAAAGAATCATCTTCAATCTTATCCATTATTCCCGGCTTTGACAACATTGAAAACATAAATTCATTCAAAGCTTTTCCTCCTATAGGCATGGTTAGAATAGCATGAGGAATCGCATATCCCTCATAGATTGGGACACAGTAAGTCACACTATGGCCACAGTCAACAACAGTCCCAGTTGTTCTAGCACTTGCATATAACGATAGAACTGGTTAATTTGCGAAATATAATGATCTCACTTCAAACTAATCAAAGAACAATTCTGCTAGCTGTGTTCTAGTCTCTAGTGTAGTATTGGGTGGCTCGCTGACCATAACTTTTTAATCTTCAAATCCAGATTTAAGCTCGTTATTCATCATTTCAGTCAATATATGCTCGAGATCATCATAATCTAGAATTTTACCATCAGCTACTGGTGTGGTCAAGGTCAACAAATGCTTCTTTGAAATGGCTTCAGCTCCTACATAAAAGTCTTTTTAATCCATTCCAACTAAGACTCCTGGATGCTTAGGTCTTCCTAGAATAGTGGGAATAACAACTTTTGGAGCGTCCTCTCCTGCGAATCCTGCCTTAATATTGAAGGATCCAATATCCAACATTACTGCCACTGAATCATCCATTTTATTTGAAGAGATTATTCAAATTAATTATTAACTCTGCAGATTATTTTAACTCAGCAATAAAATAGAAACATTAATTACAACTTAAAAGAGTTTGCAAGAAAAGGTTGCTAATTATCTCATTCTAAAGAAGATATCTATATGGCTACAATCGATTTAAATCGAAACAGAAGGAACAACTTTTTCCAAAATGTAGGAATGAACTCAATGTACAGCACTCCGGTTTAGACCTCAGGAAAAGCTAATGCCTTATACTACGATTCTCCCTTCCAGAATAGGACCAACTAAACTTTACATTAATCGCAATCATTTCCTTATTAAGATCAACAAATGTCTCCAGGCAAGATGCGCACACTGCACCCTAACTTTGAATAGTATATTCGATCATTGGAATATGAAAATGACCTATTAAAGTCTAACTTAAATCAAGTTTAGATGATCTAAATTCCAGAGAGAAATTATCCCTACTACAATGACTTTGAAAATTAATTTTAAGTTTATTCACCTTAATAAGCTCAGTAGATGCAATAGGCTTACAATCCACATCAGCGAAGTAATCAAATGCAATAATACCTCTAATTTGAAAATTAGTTTTAAAGACCATAAACATAGTAAATTGATAGCAGATATCCTGCAATAATGGAATCTCAATTTCAGTATTCTCCTATCTAAAATAATTATGTAGATTACCAGCAGTAATAGTACCAACAGCCTGAAATTACAGCTTTTGATTAATCAATGACCCATTAAATATATGATGGAGTCCCATTTTAAGAAGCTAGCTACCAACCACTTAATCAAGTTAATTAGACTGTACCTGATTATTAAGATCCTTACGATGCTCTCTACTAATCAAGGCCTGCTAAAACTTCACATTAAAATCATAGATAACAAAAGATTGAATCGCCACTTAGAAAGTCTGACATATTATTTGAGCGCAGAGAAATATTCCACAATGCCCCATCACCTTTTTTCCCTAAATAAGGTGAAAAGATTTCTATGTTTTAGCACAATAGGTATAAGAATGAGAGATCTGTGATAAATTTCTCTTAGAACATCCAAGACATTTAACTTATGTTTGAACTAAATGATAAGAGTAAGGAATAGACAGAATATCATTTGAGTGAACTTTCAAAGGGTATTCCAAACATTAATGAATTAACTCTTGAGGAATCGTTGTAGAGAAGGTAAATTTCAAAAGTTCTGGTGCAAGAAAGAAGAAATAGACTCAGAAATGTTATGAGTAATGTAAACTAAAATTATAATTTTTAAGATAAAGAGAGTTAAGATTGCTTCTTCTTATTTTAACTTATTCTACTTTAATAATCCACAGACATAAGATATCACACTACCACTCTCAATACTTTTTGAGAATGTTTTTGAAAAACTCTGCTTCCTTTTCTAATTCCTCCATTCTCTGTGCTTCTCTTTCGTTAAGTTCCATTAAAGTCCTCTTAAGATTCTCAATTTCCTATTCTTTTCTTTAAAGTGATTCATTGAGAGCATTGATTTTTTTCTGATTATTTCTTTCGAGATCATCGAATTATCTTTTTTCTCTGTCTCTAGTTTCCTGCAATTTCTTCTCCATTTCCTTGAGATTGTTAATCTCCTTTAAGAACTAGTTCTTTTGTTACTCTCCTTTTTCAATCAGAGTGCTCAAGTCATCCTTAGCCTTCTTAAGTTCAGATGTTAATTCGATTTTTCTGTTGGCAAGTTCATCATTTTGGATTTTTATTAACTTTAGTTGTTCTTACAATTACTTATTGCGATCCATCACTTCCTTCTTTTGGTGCTGTGCTTCATTTACCTAATGCGTAACTTAATCATATTCTGAATTCAGCTACTCGATTTCTCTTTGTAAATCTTGGATCTTAGTTTTAGCAGACGATATAACATCTTTCACATGACCTTCAAGCACTGCAGTATTGATAGTACCTGTTTTATTAGGGGAAAGTGACATTTCGATCTGTTAAAATTTATTTATTTTAACAAAAGTGCTTTGCTAAATTATACAATCTTGATCTCTGGGGTTTTGGGGTTTTGGGGTTTTGGGG